CCAATAATGCTTCATGAACTAGCAAGGCATATGTTAAGGCAGATAAAATGGCGTTATTAGCTGACAAATCTCACAATTTATTAGACAGTTAATTTATCAGCTTAAAAGACACTTAAAACAGCTGTGCATTTAATGCTTTTTTTAATGTATCCAGTAAAACTTGCATAATTGCCTGCGGCCCAATTTATTTTTTTTAGCGATGTTGCAGAATGCCGCATTTACTGTTTACATTGTCTGACATCTCTCCCCACAAGGTTCACGCGATGAGGGAGGAGAGGACGATGTGCCGGATGGCACAAACGGGGGTAAAAAATTAATCCCGCAACACGAAGTACATCAATACGTATGTGTGGTGCCGACAAGAGTCCATGCTTTATTCCCCCAAAATGGATCCTGTATGTATACAATGTATGATATAATGTGTCCTGTATGTATACAATGTATTATATAATGGATCCTGTATGTATACAATGTATGATATAATGGATCCTGTATGTATACAATGTATTATATATGGATCCTGTATGTATACAATGTATAATATAATGTGTCCTGTATGTATACAATGTATTATATATGGATCCTGTATGTATACAATGTATTATATAATGGATCCTGTATGTATACAATGTATGATATATGGATCCTGTATGTATACAATGTATGATATAATATGTCCTGTATGTATACAATGTATGATATAATGTGTCCTGTATGTATACAATGTATTATATGATGTGTCCTGTATGTATACAATGTATTATATAATGGATCCTGTATGTATACAATGTATGATATAATGGATCCTGTATGTATACAATGTATTATAGAATGGATCCTGTATGTATACAATGTATTATATGATGATGTGTCCTGTATGTATACAATGTATTATATAATGGATCCTGTATGTATACAATGTATTATATGATGTGTCCTGTATGTATACAATGTATTATATAATGGATCCTGTATGTATACAATGTATTATATAATGGATCCTGTATGTATACAATGTATGATATAATGTATTCTGTATGTATACAATGTATGATATAATGTGTCCTGTATGTATACAATGTATTATATAACGTGTCCTGTATGTATACAATGTATTATATATGGATCCTGTATGTATACAATGTATAATATAATGGATCCTGTATGTATACAATGTATTATATAATGTATTCTGTATGTATACAATGTATTATATATGGATCCTGTATGTATACAATGTATAATATAATGGATCCTGTATGTATACAATGTATGATATAATGTGTCCTGTATGTATACAATGTATGATATATGGATCCTGTATGTATACAATGTATTATATAATGTGTCCTGTATGTATACAATGTATGATATAATGGATCCTGTATGTATACAATGTATGATATATGGATCCTGTATGTATACAATGTATTATATAATGTGTCCTGTATGTATACAATGTATGATATATGGATCCTGTATGTATACAATGTATTATATAATGTGTCCTGTATGTATACAATGTATGATATATGGATCCTGTATGTATACAATGTATTATATAATGGATCCTGTATGTATACAATGTATGATATAATGTGTCCTGTATGTATACAATGTATTATATAATGGATCCTGTATGTATACAATGTATTATATAATGGATCCTGTATGTATACAATGTATTATATAATGTGTCCTGTATGTATACAATGTATGATATATGGATCCTGTATGTATACAATGTATTATATAATGGATCCTGTATGTATACAATGTATGATATAATGTGTCCTGTATGTATACAATGTATTATATAATGGATCCTGTATGTATACAATGTATGATATAATATGTCCTGTATGTATACAATGTATGATATAATGTGTCCTGTATGTATACAATGTATGATATAATGTGTCCTGTATGTATACAATGTATTATATAATGGATCCTCTGTGTATACAATGTATCCTCTGTAGGGGGAGGGGTTAATAGAAGTCGCCTCCAAGTTGGATCCTCATCTATATTGAAGTGATTTGGATCGGATATTACAGGAACAACATCAAAATCTGAAAATGGCAATAAGGGGCCCCCAGATACCAGTTTCCTCATGTAAATAAGTAAGGGGAACAAAGAACTTCTCTCTCTGCACTAATATTTAATATCACCGATATCTCAGCGCTGACACTTTATATCACCGATATCTCAGCGCTGACACTTTATATCACCGATATCTCAGCGCTGACACTTTATATCACCGATATCTCAGCGCTGACACTTTATATCACCGATATCTCAGCGCTGACATTTTATATCACCGATATCTCAGCGCTGACATTTTATATCACCGATATCTCAGCGCTGACATTTTATATATCACCGATATCTCAGCGCTGACACTTTATATCACCGATATCTCAGCGCTGACACTTTATATCACCGATATCTCAGCGCTGACACTTTATATCACCGATATCTCAGCACTGATATTTCACAGAACTGATATCTCTGCACTGATACAAAGCGATTCGCTGTCCTTCTGCCGCTCCAGACTTCCATTTTTGTGATTTTCCATTAGTCACAGCGAAGCGCGCTGTGCGTCCAATCCCGTGCCCCGCAGCTGCGTTTATATCCGGAACATTCTGCAGGTTTATCAGAACAGGAAATTTGATACATTCTTTCCTCGGAGAAGACGCGGATTCCATCTTCATACATCGCTGGAACAGACCTGGAATGATTAGAGTGCAGCGATGGGGAAGCCTGCGTGCGCGGAGCGAATCTTCTGTTCTCGTAGGGACACGGAGAGTCGATCTATAGAGATGGTGGCCGGCTCTGATTGGCAGATTCTCCGGATTTCATCTCACGGTTCCGGGATGTGAAAACAAAGGCGGAGTTCTGGGGCCGCCGTCAGGTGAGCCGTGTCCACAGATGCCCCGCCATTGTAATACCCAGCAAACCGGAAGAGATTCAGAGCAAACAATGGAAACGAGGAAACGGGATTCTGAACATCCAATCACAGCCGATACATCAGACCGATTACCAGTGACACCGTATGGGGAGGGACGAGTCCACTGGGAAAAGTTCGCTTGGTGGGAGGGTCGCCCATAGCACCAAACCCAATTGAAGTCTATGGGAGCTGAATCTTTTTATTTTTGTGTGTGTATCTTTTTGCAAGCTTCCGTTTCAAAAAAGGACTTTGGTAGGCGGGCGCTGCCACGGGGGAGGACGAGCGCCGAAAAAAACGAAGAACGCCATTCAAGAGAGGGTCTATTAACCCTTTGGCTGCCAGAGCCAATCTTGCATTTTGAGCGCACTCGTTTAGCCACTTGGTTTTACCCCCTGCAGGATCAGGCCATTTTTTGTTGTTGTTGCTATTCAGCACTGCGCTACTTTAACTGGCAATTGCGCGGTCATGCAACGCTGTACCCAAATTAAATTGATATAATTTTTTTCACACAAATAGAGCTTTCTTTTGGTGGTATTTGATCCCCCCACCCCCAGGGGCGGACTGACCATTTGAGCACTCGGGCACTACTTGAGGGCCCGGGGTCAGTAGGGGGCCCCATGAAATGCCCCTGGTACCTTTTTTATAGCCTTTTTTGGGTGTGCTTTGAGTGTGGGTAAGGACACAGGGGACCCATGAGTTGTCACTCTGCCCCTGATCCCCACTGTTTTTTTTTTGTTGCGGTCAAACATTTTCCTCCCCTGGCAGGAATGGCGACATTTTGGCATTGATACTAAAAATCTGACTGATTGTGCGAAAAAAAACCTGACTTTTATTTGAGGACAGGGATGATATGAAGCCATTTCTTATCAAATAGTTGCTTGGCTCCTTTTTAAAGTCCTAATGATAACAGAAATCCCCCAAAAATGGCCCGGATCAGCAGTCTCCGCCCCCCAGATCAGCAGTCTCCGCCCCCAGATCAGCAGTCTCCGCCCCCTGGAATGTTCGGCCTTGGTACAGACACACAAGGGGACACACACGGGTTACAATGGCAATTAGAGGTTAATGTCCCACATCTGTGGCTTCTTACATCACAATCAGTGTCAGTGTATAAATAGTCAATGAGTTTGTTCGCTCTCAGATGGAAGCACTGACTAGGCTAGATACTGAGCCATGGGGAGCAGAAAAGAACTGTCAAAAGTCCTGCGTAACAAGGTAATGGAACTTTATAAAGATGGAAAAGGACATAAAAAGATACCCAAAGCCTTGAATAGGTCACTCAGTGCTGTTCAATCACCTATTAAGAAGTGAAAAGTTCGGGGATCTCTGGATACCAAGCCAAGGTCAGGTAGACCAAGAAAGATTGCCACAACTGACAGAAGAATTGTTTGGGTTACAAAGAAAACCCCCCCACAGGTCACCTCAGGAGAAACACAGGCTGCTCTGGTAAAAGACAGTGTGGTTGTTTTTAAGGAGCACAATATGATGAACAAAAATGAACTGCATGGTCGAGTTGCCAGAAAGAAGCCTTTGCTGCACCAATGCCACAGAAAAGCCTGATTACAATATGCCCGATAATACCTTGACATACCTTACCTTTTTTTGTGGCATTGGCGCAGCAAAGGCTTTTTTTCTGGAAACTCAACCATGCAGCTAATTTTTGTTCGAATATCATCGTATTGTGCTCTGGCCGCCCACAGAATGTGTACTATGGGCAAGCAGGAACTAGTTAAAAAATCATTTTGGGCTTGAAGATTAATTAAAACCCCCAAAACATTATATATTTTCTGAAAGCAAAGACCCATGAGAATAAAATGGTGGCAGTCCCAATTTGTTATGATACATTGATATTAGCTCTATGGTTTATGAAACACAAAAGTTCAGTAAAAAAAAATCACTAAGGTTAATTTTAGGGCACAGCAACGATATATACACTATATTGCCAAAAGTATTGCCCACCGCAAATCATGTAATTCAGGTGTTCCAATCCCCTCCATATCATGTGATTCAGGTGTTCCAATCCCCTCCATATCATGTGATTCAAGTGTTCCAATCCCCTCCATATCATGTGATTCAGGTGTTCCAATCCCCTCCATATCATGTGATTCAGGTGCTCCAATCCCCTCCCAATCATGTGATTCAGGTGCTCCAATCCCCTCCATATCATGTGATTCAGGTGTTCCAATCCCCTCCCAATCATGTGATTCAGGTGTTCCAATCCCTTCCATATCATGTGATCCAGGTGTTCCAATCCCCTCCATATCATGTGATTCAGGTGTTCCAATCCCCTCCATATCATGTGATTCAGGTGTTCCAATGCCCTCCATATCATGTGATTCAGGTGTTCCAATCCCCTCCATATCATGTGATTCAGTTGTTCCAATCCCCTGCATATCATGTGATTCAGGTGTTCCAATCCCCTCCCAATCATGTGATTCAGGTGCTCCAATCCCCTCCATATCATGTGATTCAGGTGTTCCAATCCCCTCCCAATCATGTGATTCAGGTGTTCCAATCCCCTCCATATCATGTGATTCAGGTGTTCCAATCCCCTCCATATCATGTGATTCAGGTGTTCCAATCCCCTGCATATCATGTGATTCAGGTGTTCCAATCCCCTCAATATCATGTGATTCAGGTGTTCCAATCCCCTCCCAATCATGTGATTCAGGTGTCCTAATCCCCTCCATATCATGTGATTCAGGTGTTCCAATCCCCTCCATATCATGTGATTCAGGTGTTCCAATCCCCTCCATGGACACAGGTGTATACAATCAAGCCCCTGGGCATGCAGACTGCTTCTACAAACATTGGTGAAAGAATGGGTCGCTCTCAGGAGCTCAGTGACTCCAAGCGTGGTCCCGTGATAGGTGGCCACCTGGGCAATAAGTCCATCCGTGACATTTCCTGGCTACTAAATATTCCACGCTCAACTGTTAGTGGGAGTATAACAAAGTGGAAGCCACTGGGAACAACAGCCACTCAGCCACCAAGTGGTAGGCCACGTCACATGACAGGGCGGGGTCAGCGCATGCTGAAACAAGAAAAAGAGAGGAAGGCACCTCTAAGTGCAGTATTAACAATTTATTAGTAACAATGGAAAATTTGCACTTACAAGATAAACAGTTAAAAAGACTCATCGTGTGGTAATTGGATCCAGGTGAGACATCCAGCCGTCCAGCAGCAAGCTATGCCTATAGGATCAGGAAGTAGAGTCCAGGATGTGCATCAAAAATGAAGCTTCCAGTCCGGACACTTTCCCCCCCCCTTCCGGTTCGGACACTTTCACCCCCTTCCGGTCCGGACACTTTCACCCCCTTCCGGTCCGGACACTTTCACCCCCTTCCGGTCCGGACACTTTCCCCCCTTCCAGTCCGGACACTTTCCCCCCCTTCCAGTCCAGGCCAATTACCAGCTTTCAGCACTATCACACTTTGAATGACGATTGAGCGGTCATGCGACACTGTACCCATATGAATTTTTTAGCATTTTTTTGAGACAGATAAAACTTTATTATGGTGGAATTTATTCACCGCTGGGATTTTTTTTTTTTGCTATATAAATGAAAAAGTCCAAAAATTTTGAAAAAAAAGTGTTTTTCTTGTAACATTTTGCAAATAAATAATAGTTCTTCATAAATCTTGGCCAAAATGTATTCAGTTATCTAAAAAGAAAAAAAAAAAATAACCCAAATTAGTTTATAACCAAAAATTATAATTTTAAAAAAATTTATTTTTACATTTTTATTTTTTTTTATATTATTATTATTGTTTTTTTTTTTTTAACATACTGTCACCCTAGCAGTACAGTGTCATCATGGTGACACGGTACTACTTGTGGGGGGTGATAAAGATTTTGTTTTAATTTTACACTGATTGCTTTCACACCCATAAAGGCTGTAAGAGGAATCATTTCTCCTTCTCTCTGGCTGCATTCCTGCAGCCATTGAGAAATACTGAGTGAGCTGTGATTGGTCGCAGCTTGTCACATGGTACAAGGCTGTTGTGAATGGCCCTGTGCCATGTGATCTCTGTGATCATTCACAGATTTCACACGTAGTAAGCAATGATGTCAGAAGTGACATCTTGCTTACACCTTTTCATGTGATCACTGATTGGCCAATCAGTGATCACATGATCGGGACCTCACATGGATCACGGTGCCGCACGCTCCCAGGGAGCGCGCACAATCTAAAATGCCGGGTGCCGTTGATGAACGGCAACCCGCCCTGCACTGCCACTGTCCGGCTGTTTATATACATGGGCCGGACGGGAGGTGGTTAAACCTTTTTTGTCATCACCAATGAGGACAAAAAGTCCACCATGCAATGATTTTTTTGGTGACAGGTAGGGGCGGACTGACAACTCAAGGGGCCCCTGGCAATAGGGGATCATGGGGCCCCTGTGTCCTTGCCCAAACTCAAAAAAGCCTATGAAAAAGGTACCAGGGACATCTCATGGGGCCCCCTACTGACCCCGGGCCCTCGGGCAGTGCCCGAGTTTCCAAATGGTCAGTCCACCCCTGGTGGCAGGTTCTCCTTGATGAGACATCCGGAGTCTAAAAATTTCCCGATGTCTCCTCTGCCCTCCATTGAATCTAAAAGAGTGCAGATTGCGCTCCTGTAGCTTCTTCCTCAGCCATGCTGGCTGGGGCCGGTGACACCAGGACCCGGAAGTGACACATCGCTGCTGGGCCATTAACAGGAAGGGGAGATCAGCAAATGAACCATGCCGGTCCTGCATCCGTCAATGGGTGCACAGAGCCCAGGAAACATGGAGGGGGGGACTGGCAGTTACAGGAGTGAGTGGAAGGGATCAGGTGGTTGCACAGCTGCCAGATCACTTCCATCCATCAGCGGACAGTTTATAAAACCCCCGCCACCACCAATGTATAGCATACGGCTGTGGTTGTAGAAGGGTTAGTGTGGCTTAAAGGGAAACAATGAAAATACACAAATAAATAACGGGCTCTAATGAAGTCTGAAAGCTGCACATGAAGCTGTGGAGGCAACACAATGTACCCCTTTAAAAATGACATTTTGTATTTTTACAAGCAGAGGTCAGGGATCTGTCATTGAGCCGCTGCAGCACTACTGCCTCCAAATGACAGATCCCTGCCGGCTCCTGTCTGTAAATAAGTAGGCAGAGGTCCTGGGTGATGTCATGACCATATACCTTCCCAATACACATTACACAGACATGACCAGGGCCGGCGCTGTCACTAGGCGGACCAATCAGCTGCCTAGGGCACAGACACAGCCGCTGGTTTCCCTTCTCTCCACCATGGCTAGCTCTAGGGTGATGTTAGGGTGGGCGCTGTCCCCCCAGATTTCAGTTGGGCCCCCTACCCCCTGGCAGGTCTATCCATGAACACAGTGCCTGGCCTCTGAGTACCTTCCCCCACCCCGCACTCACGGCTGGGACAAGGGGAGAGCAGCCTGGAGCAGTGAAGCCTGCAAAGGAGAAATGACAGTAGTGAGGTGGAGGCGCAGGCTGTGCTCTCCTCCCCTGTCAGTGGAGTGATCCTCCATACAGCAGATGACACAGGATCGCTCTGACATCACCAGGTTCAGTGTTTGATTCATTCCCTGGCTCCCTGCTCCCGAGAGATGAGCATCATTGGAGGAGATAGGGGGTGGGGTAATCTGTGTACAGCCCTATCCAAGAGCGAGCCGGTGTCACCTGCTGTATGGTGGATGGCTCCACTGACAGGAGAGAGAGCACAGCCTGCTCCTCTACCTGGTCTCCTACCTGTAAGTTTGGGGGGGCTTACAGGCCAGTAGAACTATACACAATGAGTGGGGGAGGGGTAACAGTCATTTGTTTGTGCTGAGACGAGAGATTTTAGCGGGGGGGGGGGGGATATTTTTGCTGGGAAGGGTAATGGGGATAATTGGGGGGGGGATTGGGCTAGTAGAAGGAATGGGGGATATGTGCTAAGAGTAGGATGGAGGTTTGGGGGTTGGGAAGGATTTGTGCTAAAGGGGGGGAGATTTGGGTAATGTGGGAGGATTTTATGTGAGAGGGGTAACTTGGAGGAGTTGTTGCTAGAGGAGGGATTTGGGGGGGATTTGTTCTAGGAGGGGGATTAAAGGAAGAGGATTGGTGCTGGGAGGGGGGAAATGGGGGTAATTTGTGCTAGGAGAAGGGATTGGGTGGTGGTGGTGGGGGTGGGGGGGGGTTGTGTTAGGAGGGAGGATTGGGGGATTGTGCTAGGGGGAGGGGAATGTGTACTAGAAGAGGGGATTGGGGGTAGGCATTTATGCTAGGAGGGGGGACTGGGAGGGGAGAAAAGATTTGTGATGGGCAGGGTAATGTGGAGGGTATTGTGCTAGGAGATGGGATTGGGGGGGATTTGTTCTAGGTGAGGGGATTGAATGAGGAGGATTGGTGCTGGGAGGGGGAAATGGGAGGAGAGATTTGTGCTAGGAAGGGGGAGATTTGGAGGGTTGTACTAGGAGGGAGGAGGGGGGGGGGATTGCTAGGAAGGAGGATAGCGGGGTTGTGCTAGGGTTGGGGGGGTATTTGTGCTTTGAGGGGCAAATTGGGGTGGATTTATGTTAGGATGGGGGGATTGGTGCTGGGAGGGGGAAATGGGGCGGGGGGAATTGGGAGGGGTTATGCAAGGAGGGGTGGGGGTTTGCTAAAAAGGAGGATTTTGGTGGGGAGGAAGGATTTGTGCTGGGAAGGGTAATTTGGAGGGGGTTGTGCTAGGAGGGGGGGATTGGGGTGGGGGAGGATTGAGCTAGGAGGGGGGGATTTTGGTGGGGAGGAAGGATTTGAGCTGGGAAGGGTAATTTGGAGGGGGTTGTGCTAGGAGGGGGGGATTGGGGTGGGGGGGATGGTGAGGATTGAGCTAGGAGGGGGGGGATTTTGGTGGGGAGGAAGGATTTGAGCTGGGAAGGGTAATTTGGAGGGGGTTGTGCTAGGAGGGGGGGATTGGGGTGGGGGAGGATTGAGCTAGGAGGGGGGGGATTTTGGTGGGGAGGAAGGATTTGAGCTGGGAAGGGTAATTTGGAGGGGGTTGTGCTAGGAGGGGGGGATTGGGGTGGGGGAGGATTGAGCTAGGAGGGGGGGGATTTTGGTGGGGAGGAAGGATTTGAGCTGGGAAGGGTAATTTGGAGGGGGTTGTGCTAGGAGGGGGGGATTGGGGTGGGGGAGGATTGAGCTAGGAGGGGGGGGATTTTGGTGGGGAGGAAGGATTTGAGCTGGGAAGGAAGGATTTGAGCTGGGAAGGGTAATTTGGAGGGGGTTGTGCTAGGAGGGGGGGATTGGGGTGGGGGAGGATTGAGCTAGGAGGGGGGGGATTTTGGTGGGGAGGAAGGATTTGAGCTGGGAAGGGTAATTTGGAGGGGGTTGTGCTAGGAGGGGGGGATTGGGGTGGGGGAGGATTGAGCTAGGAGGGGGGGGATTTTGGTGGGGAGGAAGGATTTGAGCTGGGAAGGGTAATTTGGAGGGGGTTGTGCTAGGAGAAGTGAAATAGAATTACAGGTGATTTTTTTTTTTTGGTGGGGGAGGGGGGGGGTTGCAAGTAGCTGGTCTCGCCTAGGGTGCAAAATAGTCTAACATCGGCCTTGGACATGATTCGCTGGTGTCACCGGTCCTGAGAAATGCCGTGCAGCCATCACTGGAGGGTGTGGAGACAAGAAGTGGCTGCAAACAG